TACCAAACATGATTATCCTTCTCCAGCGACTGCTCCCTCCTGACAATATGTATGAGCCAGCTAATCCTTTGCTGTGGGAGGTTGGCCTGCATATGGTAAAACGCTTAGCGGCATTCTGGCCTTTGCCCACTAGATGTCAGTAGACACCCCCTTCCCAGATTCGTCTCTGGTGGTGGTGGTGATGTGTGGTGGAGTCGGTTCTGACTCACAGCGACCCTGTACAGGGGTTCCAAGGCTGTAAACCTTTAGGGGAGCAGAAAGCCTCATCTCTCTCCCGTGGAACAGCTGGTAGTTTTGAACTGTTGACCTTGAGGTTCGCAGCCCGACTCATAATCACTACTCTACCAGAGCTCTAGACGTTGCCAATTTGGGCAATGATAAAACCGTCCCCAATTGGCGCTGTGGGTTAATGCGTCAGACGGCAAAGTGGCAAAGTCGTCTGAACTGCGAGGTCCGTGCTTCAAGCTCACCAGCTGCTCCTTGGAAACGCTATACAGGGTGGCTATGGGTGGGAATCGCCTCGACAGCACTTAACAACAACAACCCTGGTCAAGGAGCCCCGGTGATGCTAACAGCAGTTCAAACCCACCAGGCCTCTCCAAGGGTGAAAGTTGAAGCCGTCGGCACCTATAACGATTATATACGGTTGCTATGGATTGGAATTGGCGTGGTAGCTATGGGTTTTGATTGTTTGGACCTGCTCCAAGCCATCATCATTTCTCATCTGTTCAATAGTAATGACAACATCTGTGGTTCGAGATCACCAGCTGCTCCGCAGGAAAAAGATGAGGCTTTCTGTTCCCACAAAGATTTTAAAAGTCTCAGAAACCCTATACAGGGTTGCTATGAGTCCGAGAACTTGACTCAAAGTTACTTAACAACAGCAAATAATAATAACTTATTGATTCTTCTTCTTTCTTCTATTTTTGCTCCTGCCATAGAACTTTCTTTATACAGTAGCCAGTATAATTTTCAAGACATAAATCAGATCATGTTGCCTCTTAATCAAACAATTCAATGACCTCTCATTTTATTGAGAAGATACAAACTATTCAGCCTAAGCTCTATGGTTTTATATGATATAAGCTCTGATGATGCCACCAAACTCTCTCTGTAACAAACTTCACCTCCCCATCCACTCCACTGTTCTGGGTTCTAGTTCTCACATATACCAATTTGTTTCTGCCCAAGGGACACGGCACTTGTAGTTCTGTCCTCCGGGAATGGCCCGTTCCTTGGCTGTTTTCAGCTGTGTAAGTTTCCTGTGGCTGCTATAAGGAAAAACCACAAATTGTGTGGCTTCAGACAACAGGAATGTATTTCTCACCATTCTGGAGGCTAGCAGTGTGAAATCCAGCAGGGCTGTGCTTACTTGAAAGGCTCTCGAGGAAGACCCTTTCTTGTTCCTCTTTTAGTTTCTGGTGGTTCCTGGAAGTTCTTAGAATTCTTTAGTTTATAGATGCATCCCTCTGATCTCAGCCCCCATCTTCACCAGGTCGTGTGTGTGTGTGTGTGCACGCGCGCACATGTCTACACGCACTGTGTTCCTTTTCCTCTTCATACAAGGATATTGGCCACATTGAATTAGGGTGTATTCCACTCCATCTGATGTCATCCTAACAACTGATTACATCTGTAAAAATTCTATTTCCATAATGCATTAAATTCCAAGGTTCTGTAAGTTAGAATTTCAACATATTTGCTGGGAGGGCACAATTCAATCTATAATGCCATCTCTTCAAAAAGATTTTTCCTCCTATCAAAAAATAGGCAAAGGACCTGAATAGACACTTCACCAAAGGAGACATTCAAGTAGCCAACAAACACATGAAAAGCTGCTCAGGGTTATCAGCCATTCTTGTTGTTAATGCTATCAAGTCGATTCTGACTTGTAGTAACTCTATACATGATTTGCAAGGAGCAGCTGGTGGGTTTGAACCACCAACCTTGCAGTTCGAAGCCCAGTGCTTATCCTACAGCACCACATCAGGAGTCCCCTTAGCCATTTGTTGTTACGTGCTGTCGAGTTGGTTCCGACTCATAACGACCTTATATAGGGTTTCTGAGGAACAGCTGGTGGATTTGAACTGCCAACCTCATGGTTCACAGTCCTGTGCTGATCCTAAAGCACCATATGATTAGCCATTAGAAAGATGCAAATCAAAACTACAACAAGAAACCAGCTCACTCCTTGTAAAATGGCATTGATTTAAAAAACACGAAAAAGGCCAAAGAAACAAATGATTGTGAGAATGTGGGGAGATTAGAATCCTTGTCTATTGCTGGTAGGACTGCAAAAATGATAGAACCATTATGGAAAAATGTATGAGGCTTCTTCAAAAAATTAGAACTAGAACTACTATATGATCCAGCAATTCCGCTTTTAGATATAGCCTAGAGACCTAGGAGAAGCCATGCAAACAAACATATGCCTATGTTCACTGCAACATTATTCACAAGAGTAAAAATAAGGAAGCAGTTTAAGCGTCCTTCATTAGATGAGTGAGTAAGTAAAATATGGTAGATCTACACACTGGAATGTCACACAGCCATAAAGAATGATGACAAGTGCGGAAACATCCTAACATTGATGTACCTGGAGGACAGAATGCCTAATGAAATGCCAATCACGTAATGACAGATATTACATGAACCCACTGGGACTTCATAAAGTTTGTGGAAAATGGAATTAAAAGAATGGAATTTCCCCCCACAAACTTTTTGGGACCCATCCCTGGTAAACCACCAATGGGAAGGAGGGGGATTCACTCTCTAGATTATGTTGTTGTTGTTGTTGTTGTTATGTGCCGTGGAATCGGTTCCGACCCATAGCGACCCTGAACAGGGTTTCCGAGGCTGTAAATCTTTACGGGAGCAGAAAGCCTCATCTTTCTCCCACGGAGCAGCTGGTAGTTTCGAACTGCTGACCTTTCGGATCACAGCCCAGTTTGCAACCACTATGCTACCAGAGCTCCTCTAGATAATAGGTACTTGAGTTTTTGAGTTCTGGTGGAGGGAAAAGTTGCACAGAATGATGGCGTAGTGAGAGCAGCTTGATCAAAGTAAATGATACCATTAAAAAGTGTGCACAAAGGGCGGGGGGGAGAAATGCCTTTTCAGATTATACAAGATCACTTCTATTTCTCCACCTACACAAAAGGTGTATAATAATCTCATCAGGCAAAAGGAAAACATTAAAATAAATTTGCAAGTACACAAAGGAATAAGCAGCAACTGAAAGGGTTAATGTGTGGATAAATGTTTAAAAAAAAAAAAAAAAGGTTTCTTTTCCTAATTTTGTTTTTTAAAAATAATTTCTTGTTTAAGAACAAGCAAGTTGCTTGCCCAGGAAACATCAAGGCAAATGGTCGGGTTCCCTCAGTGCAAACTCCCTTTCAAGACTAATACTCAATGGGAATACATGCTGTGATTGATGACTATGCTTGTCACCAATAACGGGAAGTGGGGGGAAAATATCAATGAAGTGGCGAGCTAAGCCCTACAATGTTCAATAGACTTCTGTGAACCCAGGTGAAGACCTGGTTGGTCAGCAGTGTGGCAAGACCTGGGAACTCTTGGGCCCAGAGTCAGTGACATAGCCAGAGAGGACTAGAGTGGAGAGTGAAGCGTCCAGCTGATGAGAAGAGAGGGCATATGTATAAGAACACCCACACTTGCAGATAATACCCACTTGTCCTGGCTTCAATGACTGGATGATCAGAGCTCAACCAGAAGAAGAAAGAAGAGGGAAAAAAGAGTAATCTGACACAATTTGATGAACTTGACCTACACCTATGGAAGCAGTAGCTCAAAAGAGGGAACAAATCCTTGCAGCAAGGATCATTCCCACCCCCTCCACACACAGAGTAGACTGAGATGGGCAACTTGGACATTGGCTAGCCAAAATGGGGGGGGCGGGGCTACAAAGGCAAGAAGTGACTGGCTTACAAGCTTTCAAGAAGGAACCTAGAGCCAAAGGGTATGAAGGAAGGTAGAATCTCCAGTGAGTAGTATGCAATCTGTCTAGGCGGGGCTGATGAAATGAAATGCAGATAGGTCTCTTGTGTTACAATAGTGAATAATTGTTATCAGGACTGCTTGTGAGGGTTGGAAATGTACAGGTAGACGTTTTGTAGCTAGGAGGGGAGTGATTAACTTTTTAGTCTAAGAGCGGAGGTCTCAGGGACCATCAAGGGATAAGAGCAGAGAGCAGGACCCTACCCAGAGAAGCAGTGATGCCTGAGATGAAGGCAGAGACGATGTCGTGGAGAGATGGAGCAGCTGGGGACTTTAGACACAGAGAGGGAGAGGGGCTGTGTGCTGACGACCGGGGGCAGGCTTGTAGTGTATACAGTTTGGTTGGTTGATGATGCATGGAGGGGATTGTAACCATGGCAACGAAATGAAATAGGATAGGATGAATGTAAAACTAATGTTCTCCTATGTAAACTATCACATAATTCACAATAAAACATTAGGAAAAAAAATAATTTCTTGTTTAAAGTACAATAACAATATATTATGGGGTCTGTAACAATATATTCTGGGCTTGTCAAACTCACATTAATGTAGGCACACAGAAGCACCATATAAATCTCTGTCCCCAAATTCCTTCTCAATTATTCATTTAGAACTTAGTAAAGAGATATGAAGACCAGATGTAAGAGGTGAAGAGAGGTTGTTTCTGCTTAGCCAGCAGGCCCAAGCCATCCAGTTCCTCTACACAGCTGTGCAGGAGTGAGAGCGAGTCCCAGGACACAGTGACCTGAGGTTCCCTCATCCATCAGTCAGGGCCCTGGAGCCCAGACCTGTGAAGGAGGGGGTTCAGCCAGACTTTGCACTTCCGTCTCCATGGGACCCTCTGAACCTATGGAGGGAACACAGTTCTGAAATTCACGACCAATCCCGTGACGAGTCCTCTCTGGAGAGGACAAGGTGTGTGGAGCCATCAGAAATTTTAGGGGTTCAAAATGTAAGACTCCTTGAGAAAGGCTTCTCACCTGGTATAGTAGATCCAGGTGAGGATATAGGTGGAGAGGAAGCCAGCCCCCATGATGGCTCCCCGGAGTAGGGTGAGGATTAGAGGCCAGGAGCCCCTCTGTTCTCCAGAGACACAAGGACAAGAACATGAGACGCCTAGGAGGAGAAAGGAGAAGGGAGTATGAGTTTCCTGCTCTGCTCCCAGCACCACCCAGAATGCAGGTGTCCCGCCCATACTCACCTTGCACAACCAGGTACAGAGAAACGCGGTAGGAGTGTGACAAGTGTTGAACTTGGCAGGTGAATTCTCCTCTATCCCCAGAAACAACGTGGGGAAACTCCAGCACCCCTGGATTCCAACGCTGGGGGGGACTTAGTGCCAGGCTCCCCCGGAACCAACTCAACTTGGCATTAGGGCTGCTGTTAGCATCACAGACCAGACGTAGGGACTGACCCTCTGCAACATGCAATGAGGTGGCATTGCCCAAAACCTCTGGGACTGGGGAGAGAGAGAGACAGAAGGACAAGTCTGAAAACCCCTCTGTCCTTCTGTTCTCCCACAGACTGCTGTGAATTCAATTGTGTCCCCTAAATAAGTATGTTTAACTTCTAACCCCCAGAACCTGTGGGTTTGAAAATGTCAACAAGTTAAGATGAAGTTAATATGGGAGTAGGGTGCACCCTAATACAATACGTCTTTATAAGAAAAGGAGAAGGGACAGAAAAACCCAGAGGGAAGAAGTCCATGTGTAGAGAACCACAGAGATTGGACTGATGTCTCCACAAAAGAGAGGACACCAAGGTTTGACAGTAACAACTACAGGTTGGAAGAGAGCAGAAAGGAGCATCTCCTTTCAGAGACTTCTGAGAAAGGACAGCTCTTCTGACACCTTGATTTCAGACTTCTGGTCTCAAGGACTGTGGGCGAATCCATTTCTTTTAAGCCACATGCTTTGTAGTCCCCTAAGAAATAAATTTGCGCATGAATGGGAAACATCTCTGAGACAAGCATTGCAAGTATGGGAAAATATGTGTGTGATACTCCAAAAGAGAAGAAACTCAGTGATCCCTGGAGGAGTCCGGCTTCTTGAAGGAGGACACCCTGGATGGAAAGAGAAGAAAGAGCTAGCTACATCAATATGTGGGAGAAGACACCCTAGCATGATGGAGTTTGATTTGCAAAACCACAGAGAGGCAAGACACATAGAGATTTGACCACCTGTAGGGAAAGACATGGAGGGAGCAAGATAGAGGATACATTTGTACCTTCTCCTGGGATGACAGGGAGCCATGGAGGAACAGGGTCAGGTCATGGGCCTGTCAGAAGGAGATACTCCCTATCTTCTTCTGGATTAGGTACCCTCTGGGGGTCTGAGCTATGGCCAACTAGAGTGAGTGGGCCTGAAGGCTGGGAGTGAGACTGAAGGAGCTTGGTTTGAGGGTGAGAGAGGACTAGACCTAGTTAGAGCTCAGACCATGGACATTGAGGAAGAAAGCAGCTTGAGACAGTTTTTAGGAAGTCAAGTTTGCAAAACTCATTGATTCATAGAGATGGTTGGGCGAGAGACAGAGATGTCTAAAGTGGCTTCCAGGATGTTGACTCAGGTGGGAGGGGCCATCCCGAGGGGGAACTAGTTGTGCTCAGGACAATCTGGACTGGACAGAGATTTCTGAGGGTCTTCAAAGCCCAGGTAGCATTGGAGATGCCAAAGTGAAAGAGTTGACCCACAGGATTATGCAGAGAGACCAGAGACCCAATATGAACTCCATCCACCCATGGACTTAGAGGTTCTTGTATGAAATTGAGATGACAGACAGAAAGGGGGTGAGGAAACTGGAAATAAGATGTCAGGGAAGGGTGAGAGGAGAGAGATCAAGAGAGTAAGACCACAAATAACAGAGACAGAGGATTGCGAACCAGGAATTTACCATGACCTTGGAGCAAGCTCTATGGGGGTGGGGAGCACAGAGGTAACCAAGAGTGATGGGGCTTCATTATGTCAGACCTTATCAATATCCCCCCTCTTATGTGAGTTCTGAGTCCTCAGCTCTGCCGTAGGACGGCAGAGATCCCACTCCCTACACAGCTCCTGAGAGGGGAGGTCCTCTCCTACCTGTGCTGTTTCCCTGGAAGGCAAGGATACTCAAGTTCTCTGGAGCATCTGGAACAGAAATGAACGATTGGCCACCCGCAGTACGATGACATGGTAAAGGGTAAGATAGTGAGGGTTGAGTATTCTCTTCATCTTGACCCTGCCAAGCCCCCAACAAAAATCCCCAAATATCCCAGGCCATGCACTCCACCAGCCTGACACCCACTGCCCTTCATAAGAACCCGAGCTTCACCCATCACTCACAAGACACACTGAGCTGGACAGTGGTCTCTGTGGTCAAACCTGTTCCTGGTAGAGTCACTCGACAGGTGAGCATGGTTCCATGGTGGTGTGGTTCTGGGGTGAGGGTGAGCACCGAGGAATGAGAAGTCTTGGGGTCCAGCGTTGTAAGGGCAGCCCCAATCCAGGAGAAGGTAGGGGGCATCCCCGTCTTACAAGCCCATGGAACTGCGCAGGTTATGTTCCTGGGATGGCCAGATTCTAGAATTCCCTGAATGTCGATGGTTGGTGTCTGTGTCAAGGCTAGGGAGAGAGAGACCCAGGTCCCAGAGTTGAGGACCCCTGAGTGTGTCTCTAAAACAGTGTCAGCTTCAGGAACGCCATCTCCTCCTCATTCAGTCCCAGTATCCTGTTCCTTTTGATTCCTCCCAGAATGAGGAACAAAGAATCCCATGTTGCCCTTTCCCTGTGGCTTCTCCTTAGTTCAGTTCCTTACCTGTCACACGCACGTAGAGTTCGCTACCTTTGAAACTAAATCTGACCAAAGGTCCTCTCTCCACCCTAAAGTAGTATATTCCTGTGTCCCCCTTCTGAGCCTTTTCAATTTCCAGGGAGCAATCATAGATCTGGGGGTCTCCACGGAGGTGAAATCGGCCCTGGGTCTCTTGCTGCACTCTCCTATATGGGTTATTTGTGGCCACTGGATCATCCACGTATGCATTAGCTCTGTCCCGGAACCAGTAGCCGTAGGTAGGGATAGAGTCATTGAAGCTGTGTTGAGGGTAGAAAGCAGTACAGGGCACTTGAACGCACAGACCCTCCTCCACTGTCACTGGGCCTTGCACTTGTAGCCAATAGTTGGTTTTCTGAGCCAGAGACCCTGTAAGAGAAAAGGGTCAGAGGCAAGTCCAGTCCCAGCTACCACTGGCTCCTCCCCTGGCCCACTCACCAGCCCACGGCAGCAGCAAAAATAGCAGCATCTCTAAGGTGGCGGGTTCCTGGACTTCCTCTGTGTGCAGAGAGAAGGGGAAGAAGAACTGCAGGGTAACAATGGGAAGCTGAGGAGGGGCCCAAGATTGCGCTTGTTCACACAAGAGGAACTTCAGACGTGAAAAGTCAGAGTTCATTCCTCCTATGCTCAGAGAACACAGAAATCCCATGGCCCAGAGGCCCCAGAGACCTGTCTAAAGAAGAGAAAGGTTTGGGGCACTTCTTGGGCACCAGAGTTTGAACAAGGACCTCCGAGAACATCAGTGAGCAAGTGTTCCAAGTGCCTCCAGACTGAAGTGATTTCTGAGGCCTGTTGTTCACACCAGAGGTCTCGTCCACTCTTGACCTGGCCTTACCTAGACCCATGGATGATCGATATTGTCAGGTGTTGGATTTCTGAAGTCTGTGTGAGTGTCTGGGACACTAGGTAAAGTAAAGGAGATATTCATTCATTCATTCATTCATTCATCAAACACATAGAGGGTGTCCACATATTTGTGGGCCTAGAGACTGGAGACACATGATTGTCCCCCATCCTGTAGTGACACATCTTCCCCAGAGAAGTATCAGACTTCTCTGATCAAGTGGTGACTTTGTCATGCGCCATGTTATTCCCATGGGTACTTTTTCAAATATGAATATGACTTTTCCACAATGCAGCATCATTTCATGTCAACTCAGAGGAGAACACATGTCTTCTGTGAACCAGTAGAGATAGTTCCTTTTCCATAAGCACAGTGTGGATGGTCACAACTTTCTTTAGGTCCTCAATTAACATTTCCATTTATGGAAAGAAAAAAAAAAGTTTATTTTTCAGAGTTAAATGTGGCTCGAATGGCATATTCCCAGAAAGTCAGAATGGGATGTCCAGATAAATTTTTAAAGTTAGTTTTCTCTCCTGTGGTTTTCCATCTTACTTTATATAGGGTGCATTTGGGCACAATAGCATGTATCCAAAAGACGTTTCAAATATATGGTGATGACACACAGGACAGAAAAGTATGTAACTATATATATTTTAGAAATCTTCTAAAACTGTGTACAAAAATACTTGACCTTACTCATACAGACAGAATTTTGCATCCTTGTTTGATATATGAGGAAATTGAATCTGTGAACAATAAGATTCAGAATGTTCTGAATCTTATAAATTTTAAAAAAGCAATAACATAAATTTTAAAATTTAAATTATAAATTTTTTATAATTTATAAATTTAAATTATAAATTTAAAAAAAGCAAGAATGCATTTAGTGGCACGTAGGATCAGCGCTGGACTGCTAATCACAAGGTCAGCCATTCCAGCCCACCTGTCACTCCTTGGGAATCCTGTACAGGGTCACTATGAGTCAGAATGGACTCGAGGTCACTTAGGAACAATGGAAGACTCAACACAATTCGTTTTTAACAATAAAGAAGGTATATCACTTTCAGGGACTGAAAAATTAAATGTATGAAAACGTAAATTTTCATTGAATTTTACAAATGAGCTTTTCTTTTTTAAGCTATAATTTACATTTAAGGAGCTCTGGTAGCATAGTGGTTACGAATCAGGTTGCTAACCTGAAGGTCGGCAGTTCGAAACTACCAGCTGTTCCGTGGGAGAAAGATGAGGCTTTCTGCTCCCATAAAGATTTGCAACCTCGGAAACCCTGTGCAGGGTCACTATGAGTCGGAACCAACTCCACAGTACTTAACAACAACAAATTTATATCTAAGTGCACCAACTTGAAGTGCACACTTCTGAGTTTGGACAGACTTATACATCCTGCTATGACCTCCACAATCAAGATCTAGAACATTTTCAATACCCAAGGGAGTTCCAACATCTCATTGTAGTCAAAGTCCAATACCATCATCTGCTTGCTTTCATGGTGGATTAACTTCGATACTTGAGAATATCCTACAAACGTAAACTTTCTCAACATAATATTACTTTAATCAATACAAGTTGTATCATGTGCCTGCCATTCATGATCGCTTATTAGTTAGAATTAGTCCATTGGGTAACACAAGATTTTTATCTAGTTAACTTGTTGACATACATCTGAAGGTTTATGCATAAAGCTGCTATGAGTAGTCTCTTTGATGGATGTCTTTGCATTCCCATTAGCACTTACCAAGAAGTGAAATTGCTAGATAAAATAGTAACTTGAGCTCTTTTTCATGACGCCGAGGAGGCCATCGGCTGCTTAACCATGAAGCTGAGCATCTCCTTCCCAGCCACTGGCTGCCAAAAACTCATTGAAGTGGACGATGAACGCAAGCTTCATACCTTTTATGAGACACGAATGGCCACAGAAGTTGCTGCTGACTCGCTGGGTGACGAGTGGAAGGGTTATGTTGTCTGCATCAGTGGTGGAACCACAAGCAGGGTTTTCCCATGAAGCAGGGCGTCTTGACCCATGGCTGTGTCCACCTGCTTCTGAGTAAGGGGCATTCCAAGGAGAACTGGAGAAAGAAAGGGCAAATCTGTCCGGGGTTGCATTGTGGATGCAACTCGATGCCAACTCGAGTGTTTTTAACTTGGTCATTGTAAAAAACAAGGAGAGAAAGATATCCCAGGACTGACACATACAACTGTGTCTCGTCACCTGGGGCCCAAGAGAGCTTGCAGAATCCTCAAACTTTTCAATCTCTCTAAAGAAGATGATGTCCGCCTGTATGTTGTGAGAAAGCCACTGAACAAAGCAGGTGAGAAACCCAGGACCAAAGCGCCCAAGATTCAGCGTCTTGTTACTCCACGTGTCCTGCAACACAAACGTCGGCCTAGTGCTCTGAAGAAACAATGCACTAAGAAAAATAAGGAGGAGGCTGCAGAATATGCCAAGCTTTTGGCCAAGAGGATGAAGGAGGCCGAAGAAAAATATCAGGAACAGATTGCCAAGAAACAAAGTTTGTCCTCACTGAGAGCTGCTACCTCCAAGTCGGAATCCAGTCAAAAATAAGAAATTTCTATGTGTGACAAATAAATACGCTCATATTAAATCTAAAAAAAAAAAAAAAGTAACTTTAACAGGAATTTCCAAATTGTTCAAATCATTACCACTCATCAACAGTGTATCAGAATTTCCACTTGCTTCATACTCTCAACAGCCTTCTATATTTAGACAATTCTAGTGGGAGCATAGTGATATTTCACTAAATGTTCTCATTTTAAAACTTATATTTAAATTCACATACAGTAAAATTCACTTTTTATGGTGCATAATTATGGGGTATTTGACCAGCATATAGAGTTAGGACTCCTGGTATGGCTCTGTAGGATAAGCACTAGACGGTTAACCAAAAGGTTGGCAGTTCAAACCCATCAGTCTCTCCTTGGAAACCCTATACAGGGTTGCTGTGAATCAGAAACAACTCAATGGCACTTAACAACAACAACAGCAACATAGAATTATATGGAGTCCAGGTGTGGCGCTGCAGAGTAATGTATTGGACCAGAAGATTGGTTTGAACAGCAAGGTCGGTGGTTCCAACCCACCAGCCACTCCTCAGAAATCCTATACAGAGTCACCATGGCACTTCACAACAACAACATAGAACTATATAACCACAATCACAGCCAAGATCTTGAAGAGTTCCATTACTTACAACTTTCCTTTCTGGTGGTCCTTGGTAGTCAAACTCTCTTTCCATCCCTAACCTTTGGAAATCACTGATTCATTCTCCACCTCTTTTGCATTGTCGGTTAGAGAATGTCATATAAATGAAATCATGCAAAATACATCTCGTAATGTCTGACTTGGCATAATGCATTTGGGATTCAGCCATGTTATTTGGTGTATCAGTACTTTGTTCCTTCTAATCATTGACTGGTATGTCATCATATGGATGTAACGCCATTTTGCATACATTTACAAACAGAAGGGAGCCGCCGGGGTGACACTGTAGAAGATGCATTGGATCACAAGATTGATTTGAACCACAAGGTGACAGTTCAAACCCACCAGCTGCTCCTCAGAAACCCTATACAGGGTCTCTGTGAGTCAGAATTGACTCGGTGCTTAATAACAACATTTGGATTGTCTCCAGGTTTGGGTGACTATGAATAAAGTCGCTACAAATATTTTCATATAGAGTTTTTGTGTGAACGTAAGTTTTTATTTCTTTTGGGTAAATACCTAGGAGACAGATATCCTGAAATACATAAGTGTAAGTTTATCTTTATGTGAAATTGGCAAGCTCTTCCCCAAAGTGGTTATGTGTCTATTTTGCACTCCCCAAACAGGAGTCCTGGTGTGGCATTGTGGGTTAATGTGCCAGACTGCAAAGCCCTTTGAACTGCAAGGTCGGCGAGTCAAGCTCACCAGCTACTCCTTGGAAACCCTGTGCAGGGTCGCTATGGGTCGGAATCGACTCTATGGCACTTGACAACAACAAAACAGTGAATGGGGAGTAAAGGCTCCACACTTTCTCTTGCTTTGATCAGACTTGTGTTTTGTTTGTTAGTGTTTGAGCTGGTGTATTGCTGCAGGATCGGCGCTGGACTGCTGACCACAAGGTCAGCAATCCAAACCCACCAGCTGCTCCTGTACAGGGTCCCTACGCGTCAGAATGGATTCAATGGCACTTAACAACAACAATAAACGTGCAGTGGCTTCTCATGTTGATTCAATTTGCAACTTCTCAATGAGAAATGACATCAGGCATGCTTTCTTATGCTGATTTTTCACCTGCTCGTCTGTGGTGAAGTATATGGTCTAATCCTTTGCCTATTTTTTTGTTAACTTTGTTTTTTGTTTACTTACTGTTTCATTTTGTTCTGAGATTCCTTGTATATATTCTGAATACAAGTCATTTGTACGATATATGCTTTGCTTATATCTTCTCTCAATCTGTAACTTTTCTTTTTACTCTATAAAGAATGTCTTCCAGAACACTAGACTCCATCCCCCAAAACATGGAGTGTACATGAGATAGCCTACTAGTGTGTCAGGACTTGGGAAAATAGGACAAGAAAGAAAAAAAATGGAGAAAGTCCTTCAGGCCATATGGGGACATTCTGGGGTATTGGAGACCACCAAGGACAGATGCAGGAGGAAGGGAGTCACGTCTGGGCCACGGCATAAGGAAGCAGAAAGCTACTCCTTGATACTAGTGCCATGACAGAAAGCCAGATTGGTACGCCATGACCAGATGTGATAACCGGCACACTGCCTTGTTCTCTCTCGAAATCCACTCATGCATCCCTGAATTATAGTCTTGTTTGTCTCTCCCCTAAGAACATTTCCTTAATGTGTATAATGTCAAAAGACCCCTTTAATGTGAGTGATGGATGGCATCCTGGGGGGATGAAAAGGCTAGAGGCTAATAAATATGGAGTGCTGCCATGTCTCTGGGCTCTTGGTCTTAGAGATCATGAGTCTTGCGGTCTCCCTTAATTCCTAACTTGTGTCTTTGTTTTATTTCTAAGCTGCATTGTCTCCACCGCCCTGGTGGTCTCCGCCGCCCTGGTGGTCTGAGCTGGACTCGCCCAATGGGGATACAGAAGTTATGTGGGCAGGAGCTCATTGAATACTACTGGAGAATGCAGAAAAGGACTTGAGAAGAAGTCTACATTTCCTGTTCCTTCACAATTCTCTGCTTCCGAATTGGTCTGGGAAAACAGGGACAACTGCCCACTCAAAATAAAATATATTGGCTTAGAATCTTCTTTTTTCATCCCTGAGAGTCTAGGTCATGTCCGGTCATCTCACTTGTACTAAACTAGCCAACACAATGAGCAACCAGCTCAACCATCTCAGCCTCTGATCCCACCACCATAGCCTCCATTTGTTGTCTTATCTATGTCTCCTCCCCAGGCGTTGTGTTCAGTAGGGAAGGAGGCAGATGTCTCACCACCTGGCTGGAAATCCTGTCAGTGACCCCGAGTGGAAGGAAGGAAGGAAGGAGTCACATCAGGGCATGGATAGGGGAAGTAGGGTCCAAGGTTACATAAGACCCTTATTCTTTTTCCATTTCCTGGGCCCCATGTATTCCTCCTATTTTATTTATTTCTGTAAGTATTAAATGATAAGATCTTAACCCTTATAAGTAAATATAGAAGGTAGAACTAAGGTCTCTCAAAATGTCCATGTCCTAGTCCCCAAAATCTGGGAATATGTTACCTTAACATGAAGAAAGGGACTTGGCAGATGTGATTAAATTGTGTGTCTTGAGATGGAGAGATTATCCTGGTGGGCCCAATGTAACCACAGGGTCCTTGTATGTGAAACAAGAGGATCAGCAGAGTTACTGTCAGAATCAGAGAGAGATTTGGTGATACTCCATTCCTGGCTTTAAAGATGGAAGAGGGAGCCACCAGCCAATGAATGCAGGTTGTCTCTAGAAGCTGGAAGAGATGAGAAACAGACTTTCCCTCAGAGCTTCCAGAAGGAGCACACCCTTGCCGGCAACTTGATTTTAACACAGAAAGATCCACTTCAGACTCAGGACTCCAAAACTTTAAAGCAACAATTTTGTGTTGTTTTAAGGCCACGAAACTGGTGGTAAGGAGCTCTGGTAAGGTAGTGGTTATGACCCGGGCTGTGAACTGCAAGGTCAGCAGTTCAAAACTACCAGCTGTTCCACAGGAGAAAGATGAGGCTTTCTGCTCCCATGAAGATTTACAGCCTCAGAAACCCTGTGCAGGGTCACTATGAGTCAGAACCGACTCCACGGCACAACAACAACAACAAACTTGTGGTATTTGTTACAGCAGCAACTGGAAACCAATACAGTGGATGCTTAGTTTCATTACTTCCTCCCAATAATCCTATCATAAATATCTTACTATTTTCTCAATTTTACAGAAAAAGACATGGTACTATTGCCTCCTTCTTTGGATCTGGAATCCATAATTACTAAATAGTAT